GGGCGTGGCTTACCTGAAATGGCTCGTAATGAAATTTCATCGCACGCATTGATCTTGCCAGCAAAACCTGGCTTGTGTCAGACATACATTCATGATTGATAGATTGAGTGCTCCTTTACCAAAAGTGGTTGATGCTTCGTAGTTCGTAGGTCATTTTATCTGATTAATTTCGATAATCATGAACGAAATTCTCTCGAAAGTTCTAAGGAACTTTGGTTCAAATACCTTCTTAACAGACTGATTGATAGTGAGAAGTGAGAAGTCCACACGAAAAGAAGCAATAATAAGTGTGTGGTGCCCTTAAATGTCTGAGGCGGCACGCATGTTCTTCTAAAATGTCAGTGTTGTTATCCTATTCTGATCATCGCATTGTTTATGAGTTTAACAGTTATTCTTGATTAAAACAAGAATTCCTAGTAATTTCCTATTTCCTTCCATTGCGATAACTCCATGTCTCCCATTAGGATTTGTTAAACGTCTTAATGAGATCTTCAGCTTCGTTTTTCGAATAACTTTTCTTGTTTAGGTTGATGTTTATGAAGATGTTCGTCCGAGTTATCCTCGAGTTGCTGTTGAATTCTTAGCAAATGAACTTGGATTCAATGACAAATCAAAGAGGAAAGTTGTTGTTGAACTTGGAAGTGGAACTGGAAAATTCACGCGACTTCTTATTCCTTATATGCAAGAACAGAAAAGCGATGGTGGTGGTGCAATTGAAAAGTTAATAGCTGTTGAACCATCACTTCAAATGAGACAGAAATTATTGGAAGTTATTAAGTCAGAAAATACATTAATTCAAGTATTAGATGGAAATGGAGAAAATATTCCCGCGGAAAGTCATTCAGTAGATACAGTTGTAGCTGCACAAGCTTTTCATTGGTAAGTTAAGTGCGATGTGGTGCAATCGATTGCTGAGATATGATTGTCTCGTTTCAGGTTTGCTACGATGAAAACACTGGAAGAAATTCATAGAGTACTGAAACCAGGGGGAAAATTTTTGTGTATTTGGAATTTGTTAGATGATCGAGTCGAGTGGGTTCGTCAGTTTAGAGATTTGTAAGTATCTGGTAACATCATATCGTAATTTTACTGAATACTTGAAATTCAAAGCAAGTATGAGTGCTGAGTTTTTCGCTTAAGTTTAAATACGGACAGGTCAAAACGACTGTTTATTTTGAAATCAGAAATATTGAATTCTATTTCCTGGCGTAAAATCCGTAATGAGTTAATCGAAAGAGTCCATCTTATATTTCATAGATTTGAACGTTATGAAAGTGGTTCACCTCAATATCGTTTAATGAAATGGCGCACGGTATTCGACGATGAAGATCACGGTCGTCGATTCACATATCCTCTAAAAGAAAAACATTTTCATTGGACGTGGCAAAATCGAACGCCAGACCAAATTTGGAATGAACTATTATCAAAATCATATGTATCAGCAATGAATAAGACTGAACAAGATAGTTTAAAAATGGAAGTTGACAATCTATTAGATAAAAATCTAAAGATTTATGGTAATAATCCGAACGATAAACGAGTAGAAGTACCGTATAATACAGATTTAGCTTGGACGCAAGTTAATAAATAATGTACTACAAAAATGTTTTGGTATGAGAAGTAACTTTCACTTTTCGCGTGTTATGGTGTCATGGACAATATTTCATACTTATATCCGTAAAAGTTATCTTTCTATTTACAAAATCTGTAATGATTCAACCAGGAGATGTGGAAACATCAGACACACATCCTGATAAATGAAAAATCTTTTCTTTGAATAATTGTCAGTGTTCGATTAAGCTCACTGTGTCCCGGCACGTAAGGAAGAAGGATCTTCGATACTCTTATCGTTAGTTGAAAGGCGTTATTTGCTTTGTACGAGTGTTTTGAAGGGATCCGACAGGAACTTTTACCAATGCAAGCGAGTGATCTTCACCGCTGGGCTTTAGAAAAGCAAAGCAGTTCTCTTTAATGGATTTGGTTACATTCGAAAAGGAAGTGAGAAATTTTATAACGATATTGTTTCAAAAAAAGAGATTAGCAAAAAGAACTTAATTGCAGAATCATGAATTTATTTCAAAAGTTAAAAAAGCGTTATCTGACAACGTACTGAATACTGATCAAACTGGTATAGAATTGGAATTGTATTCCAATTGAACGCTGAGTCACGTTGGAAAGAAAAACACTCGCGTTTCTATAAAATCGATAAATTCTACCACGCATTCGTCTACGGCATAACCCATTATTAGTATGAGAGGCCAAGTTGTCGGACCTATCTTTCTTTGTCTCAAGGAGCCGACACGGAGAATGAGTGATAATATAAAAAAAATCGTTTCAATGTAAAAAGTGTTGTACTCACCCGCAGCAAATCACGTAAACTAACAAGGTCTCTCGTAGAATATTGGATGGACGATATGAAAACTCATGAACCAGCGTTTGGCTCAAAAAATCTTTGTTGATCTCCGATTGTTGGAGAGCACGAGCAGATGCGGTTCTCTATACAAAATTAAAACATTGTCAATGTTTAACAACACCGAAAAAAACGACATCGATTATTCAGCCATCGGATATCTATTTTAACAGGCAATACAAAGCAATTGTTTGAAAAGTCTGTCAGTAGCCGTCAAAAATAATGCTGCCCAAAAGGTATTTCGGATCCCGAAATGATCGCTAATTGCCGCTCGAAATTTTTAATAAATGCACGGCTAATCGAATGTTGGTCTCTGTGAAAGATTTGAATTATTTTAATGTTTCATTACTAAAACATAATTCCTTTTTCAGATTTTAGTTATATTTGGTGCCATTTCTAATGACAATACTACCGTTCAGCTCATCTGCCTTTTAAATAGTACAGTCTGCCAATGATTGTTAAATATTCTTTTATGTTTCGAAATTTTTCAGTTTCTTTTCTTTTTTAATGAAAATCTCAGTAACTTCCAGGAAAAAACAAAAGTAATCGGTTAGGATAAAACAGGACGTCATTCAATTCAGTTTTCGGTGCTGACACCGAACATGATATTTTTATTGTATAGAAAGTGAGTTCTAGTTGAGAAAATAGAGAATTACAGATAGAATTCCGATTTTTTCCCTCCTGATTTAGAAAAAGTTTATTCTCCTAGTTATAAAGGAAAATAAAAGAAAACGGCGATCCGTGCTTGTAAAGCGTACTTAATGGCGCTTCTAATGAATATAAATAAGTCATAAAGAAAATGATAAAATGTTAAAAAACCTGCAAAAATGGGGATGCTTTGAATGGGATTCGTAACAAACAGACGAAAAATGGGTCAACTTTTTTTTTGTAAAAATTTAAAAATACCTAGTTCTTGAAAATAAGCAAAAATCCATGAAATTTTCTAAAAGAAGCAAATTTTTCACATTTATTGTTTCGAAAACTATTTTTTCTGATTTACCATCGAAAACTGAGTATAAAACGTTGAAGTTCTAAATTTTAAAGTTGAAACTGACCGCCAAATTCACGGGGCAGGAACAGAATCGTACCTACCCTACTGTCAAATTTACAACAGTATCTAGCTTTTTCCATCAAAAGACTAAGTATTAATTGTTATTTCCTTCTAATTAGTATACTTGTTGGAACAAGAAGTGCTGACTTTTTCGCACCTGATTTAGAAAAAATTTCTCAAACGAAACTAAGTTTTAAAAAACGCTTCACATACTTTTGTACCTACAAGTATACTGATTACAAGGAAATCACTGTCAATGCTTAGTCTTTCGATGGAAAAAATTAGATATGGCAAATTTGACAGTAGGGTAGATACGATTCTGTTCCTGTCCCGTGAATTTGGCGGTCAGTTTCAACTTTAAATTTCAGAACTTCAGCCTTTTATACTCAGTTTTCGATGGTAAATCGGAAAAAATAGTTTTCGAAACAATAAATGTGAAAAATATGCTAATTCTAAGTCTATGCAAAAGAAAATTGATATTATCGTCCATACTAAAATGGCGCTCAACTCATTTTTCTTTTGTTCCATAAAGAAAATGAGAATTTTTGAAGAAAAGTCTGCACTTTTTCGCATAAAAATTTGCGATTGTGTTTTTTCCAAAAATAACCCCGTAGTTTTCTAACGAAAAAGAGTTTTATTTTATTTTATTCTAAATGGATAACTATTGATTACAATTCTTCTGCAACGGATTTAAGGTAACGAAAAATTTCACAGATTTTTACTTTCATTTCAAAAGTCACTTCTTAAAATGTGTGATTGTGTCTTTCGGATGCAACTTGATGAGTTTAATCCAGTCATACCAAAAAAAACGAAAACAAATTCTTGCTCAAGACGATATTGGTAACCGTTGCATGCCCAGTCAAAACCTAGCGACAACGCTAGATTCAACATCGCTATAGTTCTAGCAGAACATAGCGACATCGTTCTTCATTGTATCTAACATTCTCACGGTAAAATACGGGCGATTTTACTTCTTGAATCGCGATATCGCTAAATACCCAGTTATTGCACAATTTAAATGATCCTTGGGTTTCATCAGTCACATTGAACGTTACTTCAAACTTGCCAATGTTAGTATTGACTTGACCCACTTTCGCGATAAAATTAACACGTCCCACACCTGTATTTTCTTCATCATCCTCGTCGTCATCAATACCAACTTTCAGATAGCCGATTTGAGGTGTTATTTTTTTTACTGTTGGCTCGTTTGCCCATGAAATAATAATCCTGTTTTAATAACTTTAATTTAATTAATAATTTGAGTGCCTGTTGGCGTTTGTATCGCTACAATTTGATAATGCTTTGCTGATGACGTTCGGCGTTAATAGCATAGATGAATAGAGTAGAATAATCTCGGCACGCTCCATCGTTTTTCGGCTGATTACTTGGTGGTGTCCATCTATTAATACGGATGTTGTCTGTACAAGTGGCTCTTGAATAACGAAATCAATGGATACTCTTCGCTGCCTACAGCAATAAAACGAAATTTCTTGTAGAAATAAAGAATCCTTGCAAGAAGTGGCAAGAAAAATGAAAAAAGGAACAAATTCGCAGTACTCTGCCGTGATTTGAAAGGAATCTTGTGCGCATTAGGGCCATATTCTGTCGCTGAGTCCCTCGATATAGTAACTCTGATGACAGTGTCACACTGTCAGTGTGACCTAGATTAAGAAAGGGCTAGAAACTTTTCTTCCTGAGAAATTCGTGTCCTTATTCTACATTTTTACGAAACTGTCGTGAAAATGGAGAGTCAGTTCAGCTGATCTCAAACGAAGACACGCCATTTCACATTTTGTCTAGTCTCCTTGGAAAGTTGGTAGCACCAGAAGTAAATACATTGGCGTTGAGTATCAGCAAACTCTGTGTTCAATCCAAACAGTTCCACTCATATCATCGTTTTGAACTCCTTACGAGTTCAAATGAGTATTATATTCTCACGTAATTTAGGCAAGACTGGAGAGGCTGTTTTAAGCTCGTTACCAGTTACAAGTTCAAAAATCTTATGATCTAACGGCCAACAAAAAAAGTGCTTCCTTTCGTGAATCTTAGACGGTTTTGGGGACAGTTTTCCTTGCCTTAAAAAAATTGCAAAAGAGTTGTAATCAATAGTTATCCTTTCAAAATAAAGTAAAATAAAAGTTTTTCTCAAAAAAACACAATTGAGTATCTACTATGTATAGTAATTATTTCTGGTAATTTACTATATTAGCATACACCATTCATTTGAACTCTTAACTGGTAACAGGTTCGAAATCTCCTCCTCAGCCTCCGCAAACTCCCCTCTGAATTACGTGAGAATATAACACTCATTTGTACTCGTACTGAATAATGCTTTTTCGTGACCGGTCGTTGGTAAAGAGTTCATAACAGCCTCGCCAGTCTCCTTGGAATTATGTGCGAATATAACACTCATTTGAACTCGTAACCAGTTGTTGAACAAAAAGTTTTTCATGAAGCTTTTTAACAGTGCATGACACTTATTTTAGGTGTAAGTGTTTTTAAGAAACGCTATTATCCAGTTTGTCTCAAGTAGTAAATGCTTTATAATTCATACATACAACTCATAACGAGAGGATAATTTTACTTGAGACAAGGTTGGCTGTATCAATAAAATAATTTGGAGGTGCGGAAAAGAAGATCTTTCCATCCGACTATCAATAATCATCATATGGACATAACTTAGGAACATTGCAGCTTAGGTTTTTCTTTACAGAATTACTCCACCCGGTAAATTGCCAATATAGGCAAAACTTGTGATGACAAATTCTTGAGTGCCCTACACATCGTATTCGAAGGCAAACTATGTTGTCTTCAATCGTTTTAAGCAAATATGACGTACTTCAATATTAATGTCGTTCTGTTGAAAACCGGTATGGATGTATCAAGTTTTACACTGTAGCGAAGGTTGTTGTTTAGTACACTATATCAAAATGATTCATGATGATAACCAGAAAGCCCTAAAATTCTTTCGTGGGAATTTCAGATAAAATCTGTCTTATTCGATTTTTTCATGCTCAGTTTTGTAATAGTACTGGAGACAAAGCTATTAAGAACCTCAGTTCCGACCAAGTTTTGGTATCAGTCAGACAGCCTCAGTATCGTTCGCTCTATCTGTTAAATGAGATTCAAATTGTTGAATCACCCGAAAAGTGCAATAAAATTGTAGTATTCTGCTTCCTGCTCAGTTGCAAATATGTTTCTACACTAAGGCTGGTACACGAAGATATAGTATATCATTCATTCCCATTGATCCTTGTAAATGGTGATTATTTCATAAAAGTATACATGGTACACCTTCAGACTATCTTGTACAGCTATGTTCAACTCACAGTCAAAGTAGATATAATACACGTAGTAATAGTCAGGTCGATATTCCAGCGCAATTTAGAGGAGGTGTTCTCTCGGAAAAAACGTTTATTCGGGAAGGTAGTCGACAGTGAAATGCTCTTACTACTTCTCCGAAATCATTGCGCGTACTTAAGTCTTTTAAATCGCAATTAACATCACCATATAAACGACCGTTTCATCTAGCATTAGTACATGACCGCCTCCTACAAATCAGTATACTCGGTATAGAGTGGACTTTCCTCCATTAAATGCCCCACTTTTTACTCGTTTCTTGGAACTCCTGACGAGGGAACATTTCCAACTGCCCAACTACGATTTTTTTCAAACCTATGTCGATCGATAGCCCACAACGAGACAGTAAAAGCCTAAAAGGATTCGAGCCTATGACTCTTGAAGGCCCGATTTTCTGGTAAACCAATTTTTCTGAAACTCTAACCAATAACAAAAACCTTTTCTTATTGATGCATGATTGTAGCCCCCACATTTCTAATTTTTTGTTCTTAAGGGCCCCTCCCCTCAGAAATTATCTCCGGCAATGTACATCCGATCTTGACGAAACTTTCCGTAAATGTTCGGCACAATGAGTTACGAGAATGAAAAGATTTTTTTGTCTCCAAGTCTTACGGTTTAGGAGTTTTCCAGAGATCAAGGTCCAAAAAAGGACCCTTAACGGCGTCCCAAGATTTTTTAATATACTTCAAGCTGGAGAGTTCGGGTTTGTTTTATTTTAAACTAGACACCTAACTACATCGACTGACCGGCGCCGATTTTTTAATTAAGCC